TGGCCGAAGGAAGCCCTAATCCCCTGGGCTTCCCAAACCCAGGTATCGCTTTACGTCCGCGCACAGGCCACTAGTCCCCAGAGAGCGGTGCCACTAAACATGTCCCGCGTAAAGGACGCCCCTCCGCATAATTTGAATGAATGAACCTTTGGGTTGGATCGGCTTACCAGCAGATCATTTCTTTTCAAAAACATGTTTGCTTCTGCATTTCATGCGAAAAACGGAAATCAATAGGAAGCACCAGGAGATTTGGTGGAGATTAAGTACCTGGTGGGAGTGCGCGGGGCTGGGAGGCGGGTGTGGGTACTTGCCCTGTACTTCATGAGGTCCCTGGGCCAGTTCTCTGGGGCAGGGGTGGAAGGGGCCAGAGAGGAGCTGGAGGCCCCACGGCCTTTGGTGTTGTGGATGCGAGGCTGGTGGTTCGGAATAGAACTGAGGGCAGGATGGCTGGGACTCCAGAAGCACTGTCTTTGAGACTTGCTGAGGGGAGGGGAGGGACGAAATGGCCTGGCCAGCCTGGTGGTGCTATCCTCTGGGGTGGGGGCAGCTGAGTGAGAAAGGGGCAGAAGGAGGTGAAAATCAGGAACCGGTGATATGAGGCATTCATTGCCTGCTGGGCATGCTGGGAGACCTCCCCTGGGTACCTAGGTGGAAAGGGTCCAGAGATCTGAGGGGTGCAGCTAGTGCACTCAGCCGCTAAGTGGAACAAGTGGAGGTTCAAGTCCTCCCAGGCAGGCATGGGAAGAAAGGCCTGGCAGTGTACTTCCAAACGATCAGTCATTGAAACCCTGACAAAGCACAGCCCTGACCCTCCTGGGCGTACCACGTACCAGCTTCGACTCAACAGCAGCAGGTGTCTGGGTCTGGGTTGTTTTCTAGTGCTCTGAACCTTGGTGGTGTAGTGGGTTACGTGTTGCCATGCAAAGCACAAGGTCACCAGTTCGGAACCACCAGCCGCTCCGAGGGAGGAGAAAGATGAGGCTTTCTACTCCTGTCAACAGCTCCCATCTTGGAAACCGACGAAGGGCAGTTCTAGTCTGTGCTGACGGGTCACTCAGTCAGAACTGACTGGATAGCAGTGAGTTTGGGGGTTTTGTTTTTTAATTGTCTAAGGCAGCGGTTCTCAACCTGTGGGTCACAAGCCCTTTGGGGATCGAATGACCTTTTCACAGGGGTCGCCTAAGACCATTGGAAAACACATTTCTGATGGTCTTAGGAACCAAGACACCACTCTTCTATCCATCTCCAGGCGGGTCCGCCCACTTGCAGATATGCCCACATACGAGTACCTGGCGTGATGACATCATAGCACCAACCCCTCACATACACCCCATACAAAAACAGGTGTATGTGACAGGGTTGGTGCCATAATGTACTTATGCGGACCAGTCACACATGTGTAGAGAGCAGCTGCTGTGTAGAGAGCAGCTGCTGTGTAGAGAGCAGCTACTCTGCTAAAAGCAGCTACTGTGCTGAAAGCAGTAGTACTGAAGGTAAAATGACACTTCATGAATTATAATTACATATTTTTTGTGATTAATCACTATGCTTTAATTATGGTCAATTTGTAACAATGAAAATACATCCTGCATATCAGATATTTGCATGACGATTCATAACAGTAGCAAAACGACAGTGATGAAGTAGCAAGGAAAATAATTTTATGGTTTGGGGTCACCACAACATGAGGAACTGTATTAAAGGATCCAGGCATTAGGAAGGTTGAGAACCACTGATCTAAGCATATAGAGAAGGACCCTTGATGAGGAATGGGCTCCGCACTGTGCGGCTAACTGCAAGGTCAGCAGTTCAAGCCCATCAGCCACTCCAAGGGAAAAAGAGGAGGCTCTCTGCTCCCATAAAGATTGACAGTCTCAGAAACCCACAGGGGCAGTTCGGCTCTGCCCTATAGGGTCACCTCGAGCTGGAATCTATTGCTGTGCGTTCGGGTTCTTCAAAGGCCCTAAGAGGGGTGGGCACGGAAGACATCTGAAGGCTGATGTGGGCATGGTGCTATAGGCTGGCGATAGGCACCTGGAAGAGGGTCTAGATCGAGATACGGACCGTGCCCAGGAGCCAGGAGGCAAGCCAGAGGGCATGGGGTCTGAGAAAATGCCAAAGAGCCCTTGGGAATGGTCTCGGGGACCCCCTCAGCTTGAGCCAGCCACCGGGGACTTGGCGGGCGGAGAGCTAGCTAGGACTGGGGGCAGCGCTATGGCCCAGCTTGCACACCAAGGGGGCCACTGGGGGGGAGCGCGACTGCAGAGGAGTCGGAGTCCAGACCTGAGGGCAGTCGGAGAAGGGGAGCTGGCTGGGAACAGGGGGCGGGTAGAAGGTGTGCGATCAAGGACATGCTGGTGTTTGTTCAAGAAAGAGTGCCCGTAGAGTGATTTAAGAGAAGGAAGGGGGCCTTTCAAGGGTTTGTGTAGCCTCCATTTGGAAGGCATTGCCTGTGCCTTGCAGGCTGCATGGTCCCCCCTGCACACCAGCCCTATCCTGGGTGACTTGTAAGCCTAGGAGTGGCTGCCACTCGCAGAGCCAAGCCAGCGTTCTTATCGAGCACCTAGAATGCTGACACCAGAATTCCTCTCCCTACCACACGTCACCCTCAAGGTGATTCCGGGCCAGAACGAGGCCGCAAGCGGTCTGCAGCCTTTCTATCTGCATCCGTTTGGGCTTGTCCGAAGGCGGCCCGCTAGGAGGTAGGGGTCTGGTGCCTGTGGCCTCTGGGGTCCTCCCACCCTTGCCTGCAGCGTGCTTCACCCAGGAAGCAGCCTCATGCCAAGGCAGTGCCCTCAACTGCCCTGACACGTGTTTGCTGGGCATGATCAGGACACCTCCTGGTGTCGCCGGCACCTGCTCCCCCCACACCCCTACCCCAAGCAGGAAGTGGGGCCACAACTGAGCACTGGTCTGGCTACTGGGACACTTTTCACACCACCTGAGGTGGTGCGAGCTTCCTGGTGTGAGATCAGGGTGGGCAGTGCCAAGAGCCCCCTAGAGCACACCGGTCTGCCATGTTCAGTTCCTCAGACACAGGCCCACACCAATCTAAGGGTCATCTGGCAGAGTGGAAGTGTCCCCAGTGGCTTTTACCATCTGTGTTAGGCCGGGTTGACTAGAGAAACAAATCCATTGACACTCCATATGTGTGTAAGAGAGCACTTTATAGAAAGAGCAATTGTGTATTGAGAAAACATCCCAGCCTAGTCCTGATCGAGTCCATAAGTCCAATATTAGCCCATATGTCCGATATGAGTCCATAAATTCCTCTACACATGCAATGATACCAAATGCAGGAAGAGCACAGGTGGTGGGTGACAAGTCTTTTTTTTTTTTAAACATTTTATTGGGGGCTCATACAACTGTTATCACAATCCATACACACATCAATTGTGTAAAGCGCATTTGTACATCATTCTCAAAACATTTTCTCTCCACTTAAACCCCCGACATTAGGTCCTCATTTTTCCCCTCCCTCATGAGCCCTTGATAGTTTATAAATTGGTATTTTGTCATATCTTGCCCTGTCCGACGTCTCCCTTCACCCACTTTTCGGTTGTCTGTCCCCCAGGGAGGAGGTCACATATAGTTCCTTGTAATCGGTTCCCTCTTTCCTACCCATTCTCCCTTTACCCTCCCTGTTTCGCCACTCACACCACTGGTCCTGGAGGGCTCATCCGCCCTGGATTCCCTGGATTTTCAGTTCCTATCTGTACCAGTGTACATCCTCTGGTCTAGCCAGACTTGCAAGGTTGAATTCGAGTCATGGTAGTGGGAGCGGGGAGGAAACATTTAGGAACTACAGGAAAGTTGTATTTCTCATCGTTGTTACATCGCACCCTGACTGGCTCGTCTCCTCCCCGAGACCCCTCTGCAAAGGGATCTCCAGTGGGTGGGTGACAAGTCTTGTGGTGGATGCATCTCGGGGCTCTGGCTGCCATCAGCCACTTGTCAGCAGGAAGACAAGGCCGAGGGAGAGTGTGGCCCATCTCCAGGAAGGAAGAGAGGAAGTTCTCAGAATCCTCATGAGAAGGCCACACCCACCAGGAGGCATCATCAGCCTGTGACCTGATTGACAGGCTAGACTCCACCCCTTCACTCTATCAAGTTGACATGAAATTATGTAATCACCACACCATCGTCTAAAAGGAGCCGGAGGCCCGTGTCCCCCAGCCGTGTGCTTGAGACCGTATGCTTGGTGACCTGGCTAAAGCGTATCATCCCAGGCTGCTGCCTGGGTTCAAATCCAGGCTCCGCTGGTTTTCAGCTGTGTAATGGTGAGGTAGAGTTTCACTACACTGGGCTCTCATGTCCTGTCTGCCCTGGTGGTCTGCAAACGTGGCTTACTCTGCCCGAGGTGAGGGGGCTGTCGAGGTCTGAGGAAGGGACTGTGTGCCCAGGGCGCTGTGCTGTGCAGTGTCCTGCCTGGGATAAGTGACGGGTCCCTCCCGAGACCCTGAAGTCCCAGTCCCCGACTCTTTCAGGAGAAAAGGCGACTTCCTAACACGCAGCCCTCAGGCCAGATGGAGGTAGGAAGGGGGGTGTGCGGGGAATCTTATCGATCCCTTTGAAGGGCATTTTGCTCTCCCTGCTCCCCAGAGACCCTGAATACCCCCCCAGCCGAATCGCACTCGCCCGGACTTACTTACTCAACTCGGGCTGATTAACCCCAGAGCAGGTGGAGCCAGCGCTTGGCAGTTTCTATGCTGGGGAAATACAGACCTTTTCCCCAGGGCCGCGCAGACGAAAGCAAACAGAAACTCCCTGCCATCAACTCGGTTCTGCCTCACAGCGGCCCTGACGGACAGGGTGGGATTGGACTGCCCCTGTGGGTTTCTGAGACGGTACCTCTTTACGGGAGCAGGAAAA